ATTGTAATTTTAACAAAAGTTTACAGAAATCTTGGAATTCTGTTCATTCATTGTTGCACATATTCCTCCCTCTCCTCCCCCCTCCCCAGTGCACTTTGCTGTGCACCTCTTATTCTGTTCTGTTGTCACGCAAGTAATGCCTAATCATACGTTCCTTTTAAACAGTTCTTTCCCTCATCTGTTCCAATGCAGTGCTCATTATTTATCCCCTCTTTTTCTTCGTTTTCCTCTTACTCCCATGTCAGTACTGTAACAGTGGCATTATGCAGTATTTGCATGGGGGCAGGGAGGAAATCCTTGCCTCCAAGAAGCAACTTGGTTTCACCCTCTTCAGGACAGACCTGTTAGTTCTCTTGGCAGTCCATGGTATGACTTTACTAGCGGGGAAAATGCTTTGTTACAAGCACTGAAACACTCTTAACAAAAAGAGAAAGAAAGAAAGAAAACAAATGAAGTGCATACAAAAATTTTCCTTCTACAGAATTGCTAACATTTACTAATCATATTATTCATAATAATGTCTTATAATTATCAAATAAAAAGGAATAGAAAGCTAACTTTGGATAAAGATTAAAATAAAAACTGTGAAAGAATAAATAGCCTATTAATGACTTGAGATTCTGTTTAATCTTATCACTAAGACAGTAACATTTTCTTTAAATAATCAGGTCAATGATATTTTCTCAATGAGTGCAAGTTTTGACTTCCTAAATTAGGAGATGAGGCCTGCACTTACTTCAGCTATTTGTTGTTTGAAAGCATTTTTTGTTAGAAATGCTTTATATTTGATAAGACCCAGCATTCTCATATTACCTTTTCATTTTCATGGGGCATTCTTCCTTTGGCTAAAAATTAGAAACTGAATTCCTAACATAATTATGTAGTGATTATAATGGCACTTTTGAATTAATTTTATTCTTTTATAAAACTTGTATCTTGTGACTTGTTTGTTTAATCTTATCTGCTTTTCTAAGCTTTGCAATTTTAATATTCTGTTTCACTTTCTCTTAACATTATATATTTTTGTAACAAAAGTTTTATTTTGATTGTAAATGATAACCTTTTCTATAAACATGCACTCCTTGGGTCACTTTGAAATATTTTGAACTTTTGTTGTTTTTTGGGGGGAGGTTCTTTTTGTAGGAAGGATGACTAGTGGGAAGTAACTATATCAGACATCTAACTTGTATATGGAAAATGTTCTCCCTAGTCACATTCAGTGTTTCATTCTTTGTCCATTTCCCCCAGTTCTCTTATTCTGAGGCATCAGTGAAGAGTCAACAGGTAATTATCAGGAAAATCAACTAATTAATCTTCCTCCATCTGGCAGATTGTGCCTGTAGCCAAAGGATTAGATCACCGTGAGGAAGAATTGTGCAGGATTAGGTTAGCTATACCTATCCAGTCTATGTGTTTAACAAATCACTTGAGAAGCAAGACTTTATGAAAATGAATGTGGCTTCAGAATTAGAGGAGGACTCATCCACAATCTGTATTATGAAGATGACACAATCTTGCTTGTTTAAAGTGAAGCCAACTTAAAGCACTTACTTCAGACGAGCAAAGACTACAGCCTTCAATATGGATTACATCTCAGCAACAAAAAAAAAATTTTCACCCTGACTCCATAGGCAGTATCATGATAGATGGAAAAAAGATTGAAGTTGTCAATAATTTCATTTTATTAGAATCCACAGTGAGTGTTCGTAGTCACAACAGTCAAGAAGTCAAGATGTGTTGAACTGGGAAAATCTGCTGTCAAAGACCTCTCCAAAGTGCTGACGAGCAAGGATATCAGTTTAAAGACTAACGTGAGTCTGGTCCAAGTCATAGTCTTTTCAGTTAATTCTTATGCATCTGAAAGTTGGACAGTGAATAAGGGTTACAGAAGAATAATCAATGCCTTTGAGTTAATGGTGTTGGAGAATAGTACTAAATATCCCATGCACTGCCAGAAGAACAAACAAGTCTGTCTTGGAAGAAGTGAAACCAGGGAGCTCCTTAGGGGCAAGGGTGGCAAAACTTCATTTCTTCATTTCTCATACTTTAGGCCAATTCTTGAAAAAAGACATCATGCTGAGAAAGGAGGGTCAGAGAAAGAGGAAAAGAAGAAGGATTGATACAGTGCCTCTGACATTGGGCTTGAGCATATAAAATGGTGATGAGGATGGCACAGGCTAAGGCAAGGTTAAGGTCACTGTCTTGGCTTATAGGGTCATAATGAATCATAGGCAACTCACTGATGTCTAACAACAGGTCAGATGTCTCTGGGCCTCTGTATTTCTAACTATAAGAGTTGTTGGAATCTAGTGTATATAGTTTGGTTTAGAGGTTTCTGGTTACAGGTTACTTATAAGTGGTCTGAAATGAGATATTAAACTTTGATTAAAATAGTTAATGCCTTTAAATAAATTAATTTTCCCCATAGTATTTCATAGCCAAGATGAAAATAATAAACATAACCAAGGTATAAAGGCTAACACTAGGTTTATGTATACACATAAATATTTAAGTAGACTTTTATACTAGACTCATTGTTTCCCACTATATGAAAAGGAGCGTTAGGATTTAAATTTTGTCCCACTGTATCTTATCTGATATAGTTACTTTTAAAGTAAAATTTCTTTAAGATTTTCATGAGGATAGCCCCAAACTTTAATGTTTTTAATTCTTTAAAAGAATATAAATTAAATAGAGAACCTAGTTTTCATCACAGAGATAGTGGTTTAAATATTAAGAATTTTATTGTTATTAATTGTGCTCACTTCATACTAAAAGTGGAACGATACAGAGAAGATTAGCAAGAATGATGTGCAAATTCATCACGCATTCCATATTTTTATTTAAGCTTCTTGTTTAGAGTCAACAAGACCTCAGGGAGTGCTTTCATATTTAAAAGTCAGTTGTTATATTTTGGAGGAACATCCTTCTAAGTGGTACAACACTCTTCTGTCAATATGCTGAATTGAGGTAACCTGGGGTTGCTGTGATGTTGAACCTTGTGTCACTGGGGTATCAGATGGCATAAGGATTACCCATTTTAGAAAGTGTTTGGTGGAACTCCCAGTTTAAGACAGTTTTGGAAGCAGGAGTGGCATCCGTTTCCTAAACAAGATGTCTCTGGAAACTCGATGAACTTTGAGGAATGATGATAATTACTGAAAGTCTTCAGCTCTTTTGTTCATAGGGTTGCTGTGAGTCATGGCAGTCAACATAACAACAATTGTTATTATTAAAAGTTACAGTGAAAAGCATTCAGTTCTGGTTAGCAGTTCTATGTTGAGAAATTATCTGTTTGTTACAGTTGTACTGTATCTTTCTACTATGTTCCAATGTGAGTATCATCTAGGATACTAAAGGATTGATCATTTGGATTATGTGTTTCCAAATTTAATAATTGTTTAAAACATTCACATATAATGTAGGAGGATAGAGAGTGAATGTTAGGGACACATATGTCGCACGTCTCCTCTTCATTTTCTGACATTACTGATCCTTGGAGGCTTTTTTGCTTGTACCTCAATCTATGGAGAGGTGAGGGACCCTTGTTTCACTGAAGGGTTTCAGTGTTGGCTTATAAAACAAGGCAATGTTGCTTATTTGTTGGGAATGTGACATCAGGAATTTTAGAATTTTCCTATATTATATTAGCTGATTCTCAACAACATAGCAAGAATTTGTAGTAGTCTTCCAAGTGGTAATTGTTAAAATATAATTCGAAACTATAGCAGCTAAAAATGGTTGGGGTTTGTTTTTTGTTTGGTTGGGTGTTTTGTTTTGTAGAGTAGGCATTTTATTTTATGTTAGTTAAACTGAAAAACATTTTATTTACAATCTGAGAGCTATTCTCATTATTCTGTTAAATATTTTTAAGGAAAAAAATCCCAAAAAATATCCTGATTTTTTTTATGGGCTATTTAAAAATGTATTTGTTTAAAGTTTTAGGAAAAAACCCCAACAAAACAAACCAGTAAAGAACTTCTGTGTCATATAATTCAACGTGTAAGATATTTTCTTAATCAAATCCATAAATTGTGAGCCATTGAGCTAGTAAACACAGTCTAACTTTTACTCATTTTAAACTTTACTTCCATCATCAGTCAGTTAGTTATATTTGGGACAGAATAACTAAAGGGGGGAGCAGGAAATGCAGATGAAGAAAATCAAGAGGGAACATTTCCTGCAACTTGGTTTTGTGACTTACAGATAGATACCTTAGCCTCTCCAGTCAAATAGAGAGCAGGTGTCAAAGCGGAGGAGCTTGATGCCCTAAATGAATGGAGTTCATAGTCATCTTTATGGAGTTCATTTTATTAGGTAAAAATAGTGTTTATTGCTTCAAGATTATATGTAGCCATTTTATTTGGACTTTTTTAGTTTGGATAACTAAACTTGGTTGTGGATTTCTTAAATATCTGTGTTTTTTGTTGTTGTTTGTTTATTTTTTTTTTTAAGAGATTTCCCAAAGTTGCAGATGGCTGTCTCATTTCCAAATATCTCTTCAAGGTACTCTGTGTTGGTGATGTCTCCCGCCACTGAGCTGCACAGGAGCATGGAATTGGCTTACTGGGGAGGGCTGTATCAGTTAAGTGATCTTGGCTTCCTTGCCAGGGCTGTATTAGTTAATTGATCTTTTTGGTGTGTTGTGTGGTTTTACAAAGCTTTCAGATTATTTTTTTTTTTAAAATCTAGAGTGCACAAGTGTTACTGCTAGTTAAAACCATGTTTTAAGCTCATAAAATATTTTTATTTCCCTTCCTATTTCTATTATGTTTGATGGCTTTAATTTTTTTTATTAATCATGGATTTCTATGATACTAACATTTTTAAAACTCAGTTATATGGGATTTATTAGAATATACTTAATTTTATAAGGGCTATGAGTGTGGAAACTACAGAACAGTGTCATTGATTTCACATGCAAGCAAGATTCTACTGAAGATCATCCAAAAACAATTAGAACAGCACATCAGCAGAGAACTGCCGGAAGTCCAGGCTGGGTTTAGAAGGGGTCGTGGTACTAGGGATATTGTTGCTGATGTTAGATGGATCTTGGCTGAAAGCAGAGAATACCGGAAGAATGTCTATCTGTGTTTCATTGATTATGCAAAGGCATTTGACTGTGTGGATCATAACAAACTGTGGCTGACTCTGAGAAGAATGGGAATCCCAGAACATTTAATTGTGCTAATGTGAAACCTATACTTGGACCAAGAGGCAGTAGTCAGAACAGAGCAGGGTAACACTGCATGGTTCAAAATTGGGAAGGGTGTACGCTAGGGATGCATCCTGTCTCCATACCTTTTCAACATGTATGCAGAGCAGATTATCCGAGAGGCTGGGCTCTATGAGGAGAATTGTGGCATCAGGATTGGTGGAAGATCTATTAACAATCTCCGTTATGCAGATGACACAACCCTGCTTGCTGAAACTGAGGAGGACCTCATGCACTTGCTGCGAAGGGTCAAGGACTGCAGCCTTCAGTATGGTCTAAGGCTCAATGTCAAGAAGACAAAGATTCTCGCCACTGGACCAATTAGCAGCGTTAGAATGGATGACGAAGAGATTGAGAGTGTTCACAGCTTCAGTTTGCTCGGCTCCACAGTCAACACTCTTGGTACCAGCAGTCAGGAAATCAAAAAGCGTATCGCGATGGGAAAGTCTGCTGTTAGGGACCTCTCAAAGGTACTCAGGAGCAACAGTGTCTCTCTGGAGACTAAGGTGCGCCTGATACAGGCCATGGTATTTGCAATCGCTTGTTATGCCTCAGAGAGTTGGACAATGACTAGGGAGGACAGAAGAAGAGTGGATGCTTTTGAGCTGTGGTGCTGGAGAAGGGTACTGAATGTACCATGGACTGCCAGGAAAACAAACAGATTCATCTTGGAGAGGATTAAACCAAGCTGCTCCTTGGAGACAAGGATTCTGGGGCTTCGTCTGACATACTTTGGACATGTTGCCAGGAGGGACGGGTCCTTGGAGAGGGACATCATGCTTGGGAGGGTGGAGGGACAGCGCAGGAGGGGAAGACCCTCTATGAGATGGATTGATTCGGTGACTGGGGTAATCGGGATGGATGTGTCAGAGGCGGTGCGGTTGGCGCAGGATAGAGCAGGCTTTAGGGCTGTTGTGCATAGGGTCGCTATGAGTCGGAAACGACTCGACGGCACATTAACAACAACAACAACATGATGTTACATTAATATTACATGTAAACAGGGGGCTCAGCAAAGATGTGTGAATTTTTCCAAAATCAGTCAATTAAACAGATTTGGGAGTTACCAGCTGTAACTGAACTGTACTACTTAAAGCATTAGTGAGAATAGTTCCTTGGGTTTTTTTTTTTATCCCCCTCTCCCAGGCAACATGCATGTCCTTATTCATTTATTGAAAATAAAAATTGAGTTTCCTGCTAGATGCAAAACATTACTTGGTCTCTGTTCATAGAAGTTTATACTCTAACCTTTAATTTTATACTTTTTTAGAAAATAAATACATAGTAATTCTTTTTAAAATTTACAAAAAGACAAAAAGGATAGACATTAGAAAGTAAAATTTCTTTTGTTTCCTCAATCTTAATTCCCACAATTAATATTTTAACAGTTTCTTTTGTTTTATATTCTCTACTTGCAATTTTAATTGCTACAAATTACACTTGATTTCTCCAGGACTACACTTTTATAGATAGCTTTGTGTAAACTTCAGCCTTCTAGAAATCAGTCTTCTAGTATTTTAAGCCTTATATTAATAATCTGAGGGACAGGAACTTTGTACTTTGAAAAGATGTTGAGATCTTGTAAATCTTAATATCTTTTAGAAGATTAAGAATTTACTAATTTAAATGATATAGTCAATAAGTAGTTGCACGTCTAAGACAAAGGCCATGAATCTTTGGAAGTTTAAATCCACCAGCAGTTCAATGGGAGAGAGATGGTCAAACCCTCTTGTACAATTTACAGCATCAGAAATCCAATAGAGGGTCAAGTATGAGTCAGTTTGGACTTGATGGCAATGAGTTTGAGGTCTTTTAAACTTTGTCGTTTAAGTATATACTTCAGATAATTACATTTGTTTGTGCAAACTTTTTACCAGTAAAGGTGGACATTAAAATTGTAAGTAAATCAGAATTTTAACTTTAACAGAATTTTAATTTTAACTTTGACAAAATTTGAAAAAATATTTTACAAAATTATTATTTGAGAATTATGTTGCAATTTTCCTTCCTTTTTAAAAAATTTCTAAAGAATATTAGATTAGTATGAAATCTCAGAAAATTAATAATGATGGTAATTTTCTCCTCAAAATTGGGTGATTAAACAAAAACAAACACCAACCAGTGAAACCTTTGATGAAAGGAAATCTAATATAGTCGCAACAAGCTTTTTTAAGTATCTGAAAACTTTGTAGTGATATGAAAGTGATTTATTATAATTTCTAAGGACTATCTTGCTTTTTGTAGCTTGCCTAGACAAATTGCAACTCAAGTGTAATATTCTTTGATATAGTCAGCACCATAACTTAGCACGAATAGGACTTCAGTGTATAAGGCTAATTTTTCATTTTGATTTTACATAGCTAAGCACTATCACGAAGGGTGGAGAAAGGAAGTCACTTAATAGATTCATTTATATTTTATATTATATTCTCAGAGATAATGTGTCATTAGCCACTTCTTAGTAGAGAACCACTTTAGTAAATTTAGTTCCTGTTCTTAGAAGGTTTTGTTCTTCCCATAAAATAAGCCATTAAAATTTTTATAAAAAAATCCACTTACATGTTACAAGATACAAATAGCTGTTCCAACTTAAAGAATAAAGAAGAGTAATTTTCAGACTGTAGACTGTGGGCTTTGGAAAACAGGCCATTTTTAGGTATTGAAAAAGGAAGCAGTTTAGTGGGAAAGATACCACATATCGAGTCAGTAACAAATCATCTTTTAGTCTAGAAAATGTTTCATCGTGTAATTCCATGCTTGAAATGAGTTAGAGGTGAATTGGTGGAAGTAAGATTTGAAAAGCTTGTTTAACTTTGTCATTGATTAAATAACTTTTAACAACCCCCACAACTGAAAGTCAGTTTGACACCTACCGTTCAGTAAGACATTTTAAAACAGAATTCTTTAATGAAGCATTTCTCTTATGTGGAATAAAATTTCTTCTCACTGTTGACTATTCGGGTCTCTTACTTGGTGTTATTTGCTTTAGTAGTTATTTTTATAGTAAATGAAAATAATTTTTCAAGTCACTGTTCACTTCAATGATTTTTTTAAGATATTAAAGAATTTATTTGCACTTTAGCATTTTATTTTGAATCCTGCATACTGCTGACAATCTAATAGCCAAAGTACAACTTTTCTAATAAAAAAAATTCATTTATGTGTAATCAGAATACTTTTATTAACTATCTTGAATTAAGCTTTTTTTGTAGATATAGAAATTATTTTATTTACTTAAATGAAATTCTAGTACATATAAATACTTTATGTGAAGGAGTGTGGAAAGTTCACTTTCTTGAACTAAGGAATTCACTTTGAAAATATGATGCATGTGTAGAAGGAACAAGGCAGAAGCAAGCAAAGCATTCCTCACATCTCTTTTGCTAAGTAAATAAAATTATTGTGAATATTCTACTAGTTTCTTTAAATTTCTGCAAGTCATATTGATACACTTTTTGGTTAATTGGCTTGGTTTCTCAATATGTAATTTGGGGCTCTTATACCTAGTACAGTCAGTCAGTAGATAGTAGAGGACCCAGGAGTTTTGTACCCACTGATTTCTCTGCCTTACCTAACTGTAGATTTGTAGTTTTTCTGTATCCCTGTGTCCTCTTCTCCAAAACAGTGCTTTGCTATATACTCTTTGGCTTTTCTGCAGTAATACTTTAAAACTTCTAAAATATTGTTTTCCTAAACCATATGAAACTTACCTAAATCTTTTATGTTTTGTTGTTGTTACGTACTGTCAAGTCACCTGCGACTCATAGCAACTCAATGTACAACAGCTCTGAACCCTACTCTATCCTGAACCAACCTTATTGTCTCTGATACACCTACCCCCATTACCTGAGTCACTGAATCAATTCATTTCATCAATTATCTTCCCCTCCTGTGCTGTCGTTCCACCCTCCCAATTATAATGCCCCTTTCCAAGGACTGATTCATCCTTGCAACATGAAAGGTTTCATCTTCTTCAGGACAAACCTGTTTGTTCGCTTAGAAGTCCGTATTCAATACTCTTCTCCAACATCACAGCTCAAACACATCAATTCTTTTTCTGTCATCCCTAGCCTTTGTCCAGCTTTCTGATACATAGCGCATAATTACAAAGACCATGGCCTGGATCAGGCACACCTTAGTCCCCAGACTGACATTGTTGCTCTTCAGTACTCTGGAGATGTCCCTGACAGCACATTATCCCAATGCAGTTCGTCTTTTTATTACCTGGCTGCTGAAACCAAGAGTGTTGATTGTGGAGCCAAGCAAACTAAAACTGTGAACAACTTCAATC